CTGACCCGCCAAAGTGGCGGGGTTCGTTCAACTGCGACACCGTAGTCGGACCGTGGCCCGCTTAACCCCTTTAAAAACTAGGCGGAGCTTTCTGTTCCATCCTGTTCCCTCTTAACGCCTTTTGTTTCTACTACCCGCGAGCCGTTCCCAACCGACGTGTCTCCTTTGATGTTGACTCGCTGTCTTCGTCTTTTCCAGATGTCCGAACGTTCTGCGGAATTCCAGTTGCTGTCTAAGCCAGGACCGTGACATCGTTGGCATCCGATGGTCCTTGAAACTTCGTATAAGAAGAATACACTGAAAAATTGTAGAAATCTTGTTATTCCGAAATGGCAGACCTATTATCTTTCACCGCCGTCCTTTCACTTGGTTCGTCCGAATGGAAAACCAACTTCTCCTTGATTTTCATTTAGGTCTATCAATCGTTCGGAGAAAGACCGGTGATTCGGTAATATTTAGGCTAGGCTTGTGGTGTCGTTGGAGGAAAGAATAGCCTATCGTGACAATTGATAGGTCAATCCGATAGTAGACGTTGCTCGAAGATCCTGAGCGTAAGATAGTAGATGTTCTGTGCGAGAGATCGGAGTTAGAAATAGGTTGAGTAGGTTCTTCGTTTATTAAAGGAAGATGGGAAGTTTTGTAGCAGAGGCTTGTAACACTGGATTCAATTGTAACGGAGTCTTCGATTTCTTCTGTTTCAGAAATAAAGGATAGCATGGTGTGTTATGGCTCCTTGCGTATTGCAGCTGTCTGTCATAATTGCTGAAGTTGCACCGAGAGCAACGTTTCGAAACGGGTAAGTGAATTTTCTCTTTACACCTAGTTTCCAGTAAGATTCCAATGCTGATACGAATAAAAGTTCTTATATTTCATGAAAACTTATATTCCTACTATAGAAACCTTTAAGAAAATCATCATCTAAGCTCAAGCTACGCTTTATCCAAACTACAGTAGCTTTGCCATCACCGAACGTATCAAGTTTCCCCGAATTTGAATTCCAAAATTCCAAAAAGATCCAATCCTGCCATCGAATTGTCGCGAAACTCGTGCAACATACTGACCCCCGCGGAAATGTTATAAAAACATGGGAAAGCAGGTCATGTAACACACAGCAGGGGTTGCATCGTGGAAATTTGCGAGCGCGCAGTTATTACCAGCGCGAAAGAACACGCTTTGTGTCGGCTGTCTCCCCTTGTCGGATTCGTCGTCCGTGTCTGCGCTAGACGCACAAAGGATCCTCCTTTGTGTCTGGTCATTTTTGCCGCGGACCTCGAGAGCGTGTCAGGTCGTTTTATCGGACGCCATCCGATCGCTGCGCGTTTCGACGAGTCGCAAAAAGACCGATTGATCGACTCGGCTACACTCTCGCGCCATTGTTACCCAATTGCAGGAGAATCGTTCACTCTACCAAGCCAGGATCCACTTTCTTTTGCATTCGTTCAATAGACGACACCAGTTTTCTCCAATCTCCTTTTTTCCCCCAAGTCTTTCCAAGACGTCTATCTTGGTTCCGACTGTTCCTTTCTGGTCAAGCTGCTTCTTCATCCGTGCTGTCTCGCAGTTTTGTCCCGGTTCCGTTGTTTGGATCTTATCCTCTTCCTTCTTCCCCTTCGACTTTCTGCTCCTTTTTCTCGAGCGCTTTGTTTCTTGGACACCGGGGCCGAAGACTCGTGATCATCAAAATTGAATTTCTTTAAAATATCGAACAAAGCTTCCGCACTTTATCCAGGCTATCGTCGGAGAAGTTGGATTTCAGTCACATCCGAAGATTGGACAACGCTCTGGTATTTTTACGTGAATTATCGCGTACTTGCATCGACGTTTCGTTCGAACCTCGTATCGTAAAGAGAACAGGTGTCCTAAGACGTTCGAGCGAAAGCGTAGCTGCATGTATACTGTCTCGCCAAGCGAATTTTGCCTCGCCCATTACGTCCTACGAAATGTACGCCTTAAACCACGTCCATCATCCAGGAACGTTATATATTAGAACGCTAAGTTTGGCGCAATAACGCTTCGCGAGTTATCAGTTGCAGGCTGGTCGTTCGTTACCGAGACAGCCGCTTCTTCCACTGTCGGAAGGCTGGAAAATGAAGCGAGGTGGCCAGTATCGAATAGTGGAGCCGCGAATATAACCAGCCAGCCACTAACCCCTGTTCTAATTAAGCCTGGCTAACCCGCGAGTTAGGATTATTACTTGCCCTCTGTCGGATGGAGAGAAACCGTCCATTGTTGGTATCAGGCTGGCGCGCGTGTACGTGTGTGTTGAGTACAAGCGAAAGAAAGAAGTTGGAGGTGTCGTCTGGCGTTCTGCCAACCATCGGCTTCCTTTCTCGTTCCTGCGGGAGCTGCCGACAGGAATTCAACGCGTTTAGACGTTACCGAGAGGAAACTCTTTGAAAATTCTTGCAACTACCGATGTAAGCCTGCCACCACTCGCTGCTATTCGTCTTGGTTTAATGTAACGTGGCTAATATGTACTGGGTGGTTAGGAAAAGCTTATGAAGTTTGCGGGTTGGTGGTAGTGGTTAGGTTCCGAAGTTTATTGCGAGGTAACAGTTAGGTTTGGAAATTTATCGGGGGATAGTAGTTGGTAAGTAGCGCATAAAGGAGGTTTTAATAACGAATGTTAGTCGACAAATTGATATTTTCAGCGTTACGAAGAATTTTGGCTTCTTTATTTTCCTTTACAGAATCGGTTAAGAATTAAAGGTGTCTTGTTTTTGCAACTCCTTCTAGGTAATCCTGACTGTCTTGGTCTCTTTTAATCCTGTTTTACGAAAGCATATATTTCAAGGATTCGGGGCTTGAAAATGGAAACACCGAGTGGGACAGGTTTTCCAAGTTGTAGCAGTTCATCTGGCAGCAAGCGTAGTACGCAAAGGGAGCGTTTGCGTGCGCTAACGTTTCGAACAAAGTTTTCGACAACTACCTACACTTGCTCGAAGGGTCCCTCAGTTGTGTATAAACGATACTTCTCGCGTATACAATGGGTGGTACAACTTTTTCAGACTCCACGCTATTACGTCACCCTCCGCAAATAATATCGTTTTATTTTCCGCTATCGCCTTTCCGTCGAATTTTCAATTCCTCTCGTTCGATGCTTCCATCCGAACGAATCACTTCATTATTTTATAGACACGATTACCTTGCGTGTCGATAACGTTAAATTATCGTACTCCAACTACGCGGATCAAATTTTCCCAATTTTATTCTCGATATAACGCGATCCAATGCCTGAAAGTGACCGTTGTCGAGGGAATAACGAAGTAGCACGGCTAATTCGCATTCGTTTTAAGGCAAAGGGACGATAAGCTCGCGAGAAGGATCGGGAAAGCAGAACGAGCCACGATAATACGTCTTTCCTGTCACGTAGCGGCCGATGGCATTATGATAATGCCGCGAATAAGAAGGATTCAGGGGAGGAAATGTGAACGATGAGTGAAGTGGCGCGGTAGAGGCGATGCAGCCTGCCAGCAGGATCGGTCTAATCGAGATTCGATTTTTCATTTTGTTTTACGTGCCAGCCAGACAGAGTATGATAGCCTACCCTCTTTTCACCCATCAGCTAGAACACGTAGTCTAGCGATCGTGTGTGCATCGTGGTTGAACAATGGTAACATGTTCTGCAGCTTGTCCGAATTTTCAGCTTATTTTCCTACTTTTGTCGACAATGTACGGTTCACCGGTGTTTATTCGGTCAGGACTCGAGCTGTTTAGGGAACAGTGGATCCTTTTTCGGCGAATTAATAGTCAGACCAGGTTTGTTTTGACTTTCTGCCGGTCGTGAGAGTGCAGCGATGGAAATATCGGCCGATCGAATTATTCTTAATCGTAGCTGAGGAAACTGTCGTTATATAGGGTGACTTGGTAATCACAGCGTGAAAAGGAAGCACGTGATTCTGTGTGAAAAAATGAAGATAAAGACAAGGCATGAATAGCGCTTTTTGGTAGTATATGGACCTTTTGGGGTCGCTGAAGGGTAGGAGTTCAATCGGGTTAAGATAACCTGGTACGCGAAATTTTGCATGCAAGTTAGGTAGTCTGAATCAAGATTTCTCACTATTTTGAACCTAGATTTTACTTGCCGAGGAAGCGAAGGTTATCTTCAGGTTCAGTAGATGATCAAAGGATGAATACTGATGTAGAAGATAAGCCGCTTTCAAAAGATGACTGCAAAGTAACGCGAAGATTCAGCGAAAGGATAAGCAGAGTGAAATGATTAAATATTTTGATAATTATAACGATACCGGGAATTTGAAAGTATGAAGTCGGAAAAGAATTAGAGCGTAGATTTTGAGAAATAGTGGCAGTCGTTTCTCGGAACACACTTTTATTCTCTATAGAAATAGGCATGATAAATTGATTCTGACGATCGGCTCTGCATGTACGTAAGAAAATCGCGAAATTATTCACGATGTATGATATTCTGAAACGGTTCATATTTTATTCAGCGGCGATAAATCCGACCTATTCCTCTAAGCCTGTCGGCGAATTAAATTTTAAACGTGAATTTTCGAAGTTTTATCTATTAAAGCGAGCTCGCGCTACATTCGAATCGAAAGAAATAAAAGAAGAATCGGATTTATAGCTCCGATCGAATAATTAGATTAACGTCCGCAGATTTTACCGCCGAATAATAGGTCAAAGACGTGGGATAGCTATTTCTCGTACAACGATCACCTTCCCTAGAAGATCGAAATTGGAAAAGATGCCGCAGTCGAACGAGGAAACGCTATGCGTTCGACGGATCCTAAGGCGAAACTTTCACGTAACGAAATCTTTGCAAAAATATCATATTTTCGTCGATCGACGGTTGCAAACGAAGAAACGCTATTACACGATGTGCCAAGGTGTCAGCCTGATTTCCTTGCCTTGCCAGGATCGTTTAGGGTGGCCTTAATTGGACAGAAAGCTAATTAGACGACGGTGGTTCCGCGTCCGGCGAGGCAATCCAGACTGAAAGCGAACCGTGAGATTTACGGCGAAGAAAAGGCCACGTAAGAGGGCGAATCTCTCGGGGGAGGCCGTGAAGATCTATGACTCCTTCCGACGGTGCACGATACAAACACGGATAACCTGGATACTGTGTGCAGAGATAAGAAGCTGGCTACCGGAAGGAATGCGAGTTTGATTGGTTATAGCGTCATAGGATCAGCTACTCTTATAGAATTGCGAAGATAAGATAAAATGGAACTTTTATTATTGATTGAAATTGCATTTGAACGTTTATCGTAGGAAAGTTTTATGTGGCTTCTGAACAATCCCAACTACACATTTTCATCGCTAGATCGTAGATCTTTGTACATTTATGGAGGAATTTGAAGATGAAAATATTTTTGTATTCGTTGAGTGCACGCGTATAATGCAAAAAGACGTATAAAATATCCGTACTGTGGTATTTTCCATCCAGGTGCCAGTTTATAAATTCTATTCGTAGAAACATGGATTTGCATAAATATCCGCAGTCTCGTCGCTTTGTTTCGTTTGGTATCCGACCATCACCAGACCATCCTCGTACGTCTTACGTCTTCTAATATACGACTGTAACGACTATAACGACTATAACGATACAGCCGTTAGACTACGCGCGACACGGCAGAGATTGATCGTGGAAAAGCTTCGGTGTAGCGGTTTATGACAAATGTTCGATGGATTTTCAGCAACGACTATGTGGATTATATAAAACACGGAGTTCGCGAGACCCGAATCGATAGCAGGGAATCGTAGGAACGTTAATTCGAATTGTCAAATATTGAAGCTGCCGGCCAGTTGAATATCTAGTGGAAATCTGTCGCT